TATGAAAAATATAAGGATAAAATAAAATACATGTGCCGCTTTTATACGGATGAATGTATGAACCACTTTAATTTCTTTCATATTGACGCTAGGTTATTATCCTGACAATTTCGTAGTTACTTATAATAAGGATCTCATAATACTGATCCATTTCAAATTTATGATGGGTTGCACATTCCTCTTTTATTGTTTTCATGCTATAAAACGAAAATAAAGTAGCTAAGCGTTTGGTCATTCAGAAATGACGTGTCATAAACGAGCAAATTGTCCCCGAAAGATCGTATCACGTGAATATAGATGTACTATGCAATGTACTATCATGGTCACCACGAAATTCAAATGAATTCAGTGAAGGCATGTTGGTGTAAAAAGGTTTGAAATGTTTCATCGGCGAAGATTTTATTTTTGCATGTGTGGAACTAAAAAATAAATAAATACTTGTGAGAAATGTCGTAGTTTGTAAGGAACTATATAAATGTACTGTTTTCGATTTAAATTGGTTGAAAATTTATCCTTTAATTTCATACCGTAAGAATAGAGCTTTGCATAACATTGTTGAACTATCCGCCAAAGTAACGTGTGGCATGCGTGCGTATTAAAATGAAATACAAAATCATACATGTATGATAAACTTATAAACGAAATATTAAGAAATTAAGGATGACTACTGTAAAAGTATGTACAAAAATGGAGTCACCTTTTATCAATACATTTAGTGAATAACCACACTGTTTAAAACTGATTGTTTTCTATGCAACTATTTAAATATTTACAATATATAATTTTCAACCGAGGATAGCAAAACAGTTAATTATAAATTAAGAAAGTATATCGCTGGAGTTTATAAAGTAAATTTCCTTCCACTGTGCCATGGTTTGCCATCTCCATTTTTTCTCTAAACAAAGCATGGCTGGTTACATGTTCTGAATTTACTTACAATTTCGGGATTTTTTTCTTCAAAATCAAGTAAACTAAATCAGAAAAAAATCACACTATCCTAAAACTTATGAAAGAATATGAATAATGAACATGACAGTTTATAACACAAACCCATTTACTAAAAAAATCGAGCAATATCTTTAGTATGTAATTTGGTTATTTTTGTAGTTAAGTACGGTTTAATTTCAAGTACAACGTTAATCCATCAAGTCCATTGAATAAAAGATAAGGCAGGGTGAGCAAATTGACAAAAAAAGGCAGGATGACGATTTATGTAAAAAAATCAGGATAAACTAATAAATATAGTCAGGACCTAACAGACTGAAAAATAGAAAGACAGGACAGAGATAACAACTAAAAAAAATGCAGGACAAAATGTTTCATCCAAGTCCCCCACCCCCAATCAAAATAAAATGGTAGCTCCCTTAATCCAGAACCAATTTGGAGGAGACAGTTGAATTAAATATTTCGACGTGACTGTTAAGATTAAAGTTTAAAATTTTACATGCACATGTATAAAAGCTAGAATTGCCATGGGATAATCAAGAACACAATCATGTACGTGAATACGACGATGGAAGTTTTTTACGACCTTGACCGGCTACGTGAATACTGATCAGTCCATTCAGCTTTATAGTACGCGTGTTCTATTTTCGCAGGTGTGAGGTCGAAGGTTTGAATTGACCAATGAAAACGATCGTTCCTTAACGAGTTAATCTAATAAAGTTTGTTTGACTGATTATGTTGCACGACCTTTCGCTAAGCTTGGCCGCAGTTCAGTATACAATGTATAGTTTGATGATCTTTTCTGCTAACTACTATACTTGTGAAAAACCCTTGGCAACAGAAACATATTTAGCTTTTTTTTTAATCGACCCAATTTACATAGTAATGGACGACTTCGTACATTTTATGATCGCAAATAAAATATGTATATAATATACTGTGCACTGTAGTACGTATATATGTTACAGTGAATTTGTATAATCAGGGATTCTACATAATCCCTGAAATTTTCAGGGATTTTGTAAAATAACTGGTAAGTTTAGGGATTATATATAATCACTGAAATTTTCAGGGATTATGTATAATCACTAGAAAAGACGTCAGGGATTATGCATAATAACTGAAATGAAGAAACAGTTTTGTGTATGAAGAAAATGAATGTAAGTTAAACTAAATAATTTATAATATCAAATCATAATAAAACTTCATTATAAACATCCTAAAATATTTCCATACACCAAATTTGTAGACCTATTGCATACAGTATAAGAAAAACAGATCATAACAAAAACTGAACTATAACCACTGAACCATGAAAATGAGGTCAAGGTCAGATGACACCTGCCAGTTGCAAATGTACACCTTACAATCCTTCAATACACCAAATATACTAGTCCTATTGCTTATAGTAACTAAGATATGGACTTGACCACCAAAAATTAACCTTGTTCACTGATCCATGAAATGAGGCCGAGGTCAGGTGAAAACTGTCTGACGGGCATGAGGAACCCTGCAAGGTACAATGTACGCACATACGAAATATAGTTATCCTATTACTCATAATAAGAGAGAAATTAACATTACAAAAAATATTTAACTTTTTTTCAAGTACTCACTGAACCATGAAAATGAGTTCAAGAACAATGGACATGTGACAGACAGAAACTTCGTAACATAAGGCATCTATATACAAAGTATGAAGCATCCAGGTTTTCTACCTTCTACAATATAAAGCTTTTAAGAAGTAAGCTTAAGCCGCCGCATCACTATCCCTATGTCGAGCTTTCTGCGACAAAAGTCGCAGGCTCGACAAAAATGATAACCTTAAAGTATAATAAAAATGTTAGGCATAATATTTTAAAATGTCACACAAAATTAAAATATTAAGCACTATATATTAAAATGATAACCTCAATATATTTTACACAAAATACAAAAATGTTAAGCACAATATATTAAAACATTCATTAAATAAATTTGGATGGCAGAAACTTTTGCACATTTGCCCTGTTTTTCTACAGGCACATCTACCTGATTCGCATCTGTTTTACTACACTATCCACATTAAAAAAAAACTTGTCTTTCTCATATCGAATCAGATTTTACGGCATGTCTAAGAGAAATAAAGTTTGTAATACAATCATCTGAAGGTACCCAAAAAAAGGGAATCAGGAGCCGTGAACTGATTGCTGATGCTAGCAGAATTCTGTTGCGTTATTTCTCTCAGAATTGAATTTCATGTCCTTTATCCCCTCTATGAACAACGCCCTCAATTCAACTCGAACCAACCACTGATTTGTTATAAAAACTAGTATACTTATGAGACGTAAATCATATAAATGGTACTTCTGTTTTTGTATATCTAGTTTTGACAACTTTTGCTTTTCACAAAATATATATTTGTTTCGTCAAATATTGAAGACTATCTATTTTTAGATCCATGCCCACCAACCCCGTCCCCTCCTATAGTACTGCATAATGCTGTAAAGAGTGTAATATGTATGAAATATATAGGATAATAGCAGCCTTAAAACAATTTAAATATATACTTTGTTAGCAGATAGAATTAAGCAGGATTTTAGTCTTTTTTACTTGTTTCTTTTGTCATCAAAGTAAAAATACCATTTTTTGTTCCTTGTCCATAGCTTGCATTTTGTATTTTCCTCTGCCATACTTATTTGTTTGTGAAATATTGTGGTTCAACATACATTTAAATAAAATATCACTGGTAAAACCTTTCCCTTATTTTTTTTTTTTTTCATTATTGATAATCCCTGAAATCATATTAGGGAATTTGTAAAATAATTAGTAAAATGTTCAGTGATTATGTAAAATCACTGGTCATTTTCAGGGATTATATATAATCACTAATGAGTTTAGTGATTCTACATAATCCCTGAAAAACCAGGGATTCTACATAATCCCTGATTATATAAATTCACTGTAACATATATACTGAGACCCTTTGGCAACCCCACAGTTTAAATGTTTATAATAAATACGTCGTGAGTTGTGGGCGTTACAGACGTTCACCTAATCTGACCCAGTCAATGGGATATTTGAGCGCTCCAATCAATGGTCTCGGCTACACTGTTTTGCACATGATTCCGGACAAAATGTTTCTATATTTTGTATAGTCGCCACGATCATACAACCATATTTTACGTTTGAAAGATTTATGACAGGTTTTGGGAAAATTTAAAAGACCAATGATAGGACAATGATACCTCAATTGCTCAAGTAGTGGCGGACCCAAAGAGAACTTTTTTACAATGTAATTTTAGTTCTAGCCACACAGATTCAAGGTTGTCCATTTCTATTTCTTGGCGTCGATGTGCAACTAAATAATTTTTAACATATACGACAACTCCACCGCCTGTTTTTTGTGATCCTCTATCTCGACGGAGAGGGCTATGATAATTTAATAACTTTATTGATTCGTCTGTGTTATTATTGTTTAGCCAAGACTCGGTAAAAGCTAATATGTCAAAATCATCATACTCCGCTTCTATAAGGACAAATGCATTAGAAGAGCCATTAGCAAATCCTACTTGATCCCCTGAAATAACACAACCTTCAATAATGAGCAAAACCCATAACGCATACTAAGCTATAAAATGCTTTGATATGAAAAAATGTAAAATAATAAAAGAAAACCCAAGCAACTCTATTAATGCTAAGAAAGCCAACATAAAACAAATATGATATACAGAAATCAACGACACCTATTGAATTACAGGATCCTTGCATGCTGACTTTTGGGGAAAGGCACATTAAGAATGTAGCGGCGTTAAACATGTCTGTGAGCTTACAACCCTTCCACTAACCTCGGACAGCACAACACAAGTATAAACTGTAAATATAAGTTGGAAAGGGGCTTGACACAGAAGCACTAAAAAACACAATAAAAAAGACAAAAGACACACAGTACCGATCTTAGTGTGCTCACAATAACTGGAAGCTAGTAAATATCAATAAGTTCACGACCAACGGATTTATGGTAAAGACTTCTAAAACATGACATTCAAGGCCAAAGTATAAGTATCGACAAAATATAGGTAAAATAATTTTTATAACTGTATTACAATACACACTTAGTAATGTCTTAATTAATTAAGAACAAAATCAATGAAGACAATTTTCAAAGATTTTAGCGCAATATTACATTAATAAACTTTTAGAATATGTTTACTCAAAGGATCAATTAGTATTCAATGTCTTTTTTTTACTGTTATTTATCTTTTTGTCTTTTTCTGCAATAATGGCGTATGTCTTATTTTACGTACGTTTTTGTCCTCTCTGGTATCTTCTTTTTTGTGGGTTTAATCTTCTAATCTAAATTGTAATTATGAACCCCTCCTGAAATAATTTCTCCTTTTGTACTGACCCGACTAAATCATATTATACAATTAACTTTGGCAACAATACAACATAGGTTCGATAGAACTGAAGACATCATGGCATGGAAGATTGATGAGACCAAGTGGACAAACTCATTAGTCGAAAACAAACTGACAATGCCATGATAAGATAAGGAATAGACAAATAACAGTATACAAAACACAACATATAAAACTAAAGACTGAGGGACACAAACCCAGTAAAAATATGGGGTGATCTTAGGTGCTTCGGAAGGGTAACATACGTCTCCGGCATTTCATAAATCTAAATAAAATTGAATACGATGTAAACGTCAATGCAACAATAGCGTTAAAAAACTCATTACTTGCTTTTTTCTTTAATCTTTAAACAAGACGGGTACCGTAGTTGACCAGAAACTGGTTACCCTTCCGGAACGCCTGAGTTCTTTCCAGGCTTTTTGTAGGTTCGTTTTGCTCAATCTTTAGTTTTCTGTGTAATGTTTTGTTGACTGTTGTTGGTATTTTTTCGTTTTTCTGATTTTCTCCGACTTTGGGGTTTTGATTGTCCTTGGTATCTTCTCATCGCCTTTTCAGGAACTTGGTTTTGAATGCAGATCTTTGGTACTTTATATCAGATGTATTCCTAACTTGGTTAGACTTTGGGAGATTGAGAGCTTGACTTTTTATATTGTTCATTGGCTATTATTGAAAACGGTATGTTGATATATTTTTCTGTATTATTGTGTTGTTGGGTTGATATTTCAACGATGTACTAAATCAGGCATGTGTGTTGCAATCATATTGTTTATTACAATAATTAAATAAATAAATATTGATATGACATAAATGAAAAATGACATCCCGGAACACATCCAGTATATTTTACAACGGGGAAAATGTGAGAAGGGCAAGATTTTTAATATTTAAAACAAAATGCTCTGATTTCTATTTACTATTTAAAATATTAAAAAAACGAAAACAAAAGAACAGAAAAAACAAGAAACCCACTAATTTTAGATGGCTCCGAAAATATGATGCATGAATGATATATTTAAAAGGGTGAACGTGAAAACGTACAGATTGTAATTACAGATTCAAATAATAGCTAAGGTTTATGTGAATGAAAAACGTTAACGACACTAAATGCATATTTTTTGGTTAAAATAATTCTAGACTCTACCTTTAAACAGATAGTAGCAAACCAAAATATAAAAACAAAAGTAACTACAGTTTTCGTGTGTCTTAACTTGTGCAAACGACACAAAGTAAATCTGCTTCATCTGTGTATGGTGGGCATCTTAAACTACCACATTTTGTTCTTATTGGATAAAACAAAGCACCATTTTCATTGGAAGACCTGCTGTCGCATGGTTCGGCATTTATATCGACACATGTAAAATCTGTCCTTTGATGGTTCTTGTGTGAGCTCATCAAATAACCATTATATTCGGCGTTCCAATCACTGTAGCACGTCTTTCTTCCTATAAATAATGAAATGTTAACTATTATTGCTGGAAACAATGGTTGATAATGACAATCAATGGCGAAGGTAAATATTTGGTCATGAGCAAGTTCCTGGCATATTTTGGTTGAACTAACATAAAGCACATACATCGCCTAAAATAAAATTTCCCAAGCGAATAGATAAACGTAAAAAAAAAAATCTTACTGTATGAATAACTGTCTGTAACATTTACGAGTCTAACAATGAAGATTTAGTGTAATTTCGACACTTTACTGAATTTAATGTCAATTCATGGCAATATAACACACAATCAGAAAATATTTGAACCAAAACTATAGTATTTTATTAAAGTGCACAGCAAATTCAAATCAGTTGATTGATTTATGTTTACTTTACGCCAAATTAGCGCAAAAAGAGCACGTTACTTGAACTCTGGTGGATTAGTTGTCTCATTGGCTATCATACCACATTTCATTTTAAAATAGCTTTCAACTTTAATTCTGCAATTAAGAGAAATTTGCAAATATATTTTTAATTTAAAGACCATTTTGGCCTTAAATCGTAACTTTTCTATCTCGACTAGTACCGACGGCTATCATGTTAAGTGTATGGTGCGATTATCTTAAAATACATTGTCCGATTTTTATCAAACTTTTAAGATATAACTTTTAAACAATACGACTAAGACTTATTGTGATGAAGTTTAGTTCCAATTTGCCTACAGTTGTTTTATGGAAGAAGGTTTATGAGTAAGGAGAACGAACGACATTGGTTCCAATGTGAAGTCGAAAAATATATTTTGAAATATCTTCACGAAAAAGTCAAATAGTTACCTGGAATCATCACAACAGTTGATTTGCCCGATTTCCGGCATACAGCACAAGGTACTTCCTTTTGTTTTAAATCAGTAGAGGACCACCCATATGGCTTCCGACCTTCTGATATTTCATATTCAGAACCAAAAATCTGATCGTTGTCAAATGACTGCTTGTTACCATTTTCTGGATCATTCGGCAAACAAAGATAATTAACGCCACCTCCTTTGTTATTGTAGCTATTACCACCTGCATTTCCTAGAAAAAGTACAAAGGAAAAAGTAAAATAACAAAAATACCGAACTCCAAGGGAAATCCAAAACGGAAAGTCCTTTATATAATAACAAAATCAAAAGCTCAAACACATGAAACGAATGGAAAACAACTGTCATATGCCTGACTTGGTACTATGTTCGGTTTGAAACTTCTTTGAAGATTAACACGGATGATGAATGATCCTGATCCTGATCTTAAGGTAAAAAACTGACTGATCTCACGAATGAATGGTCACGTGATCACAACTACTTGATATTGACATCATTTGAATATTGTATTACTTCTTTAATTTTTGTCTGATTATTTGATTATCAGATATCGCAAGGTAGGGCCTAGGCAATATCGAGTTTTCTGTGAAACCAACATGTGAGTACAAGTATGTATTATCGGAGACGTTAAAAGGTCGAATGAACTGAACTATATCATTTCCTGATGGAATTGAAATTTAGTGTTTGTTGAATTGTAAAGTGTTTTTGAAATAAATATGATAATATATAAGATTTACCGGAATAAACAACATCAGCTCCAGCAGGACAGTCTTTTCTTCCCCATCTAATGTACGCTACACCATAGCTAGCATCTGTAAACAAGTAAAAATATATCCATTTTATCCAATTCATGAGAACAATTTGAAAAGAATGCATAAATAGTATTTTGAATTTTGCTTCTACCAAATCATCAAAACGATGTTACAATGAATTACAAGACTTCCTTTCAAGTAAAAATATATCAGGGTTGGAATCGGTTTCTGATGATATAGAAAGTGAACTAGATATTTACATAAAATTATTTGTTACAAGTTTTAGCTTTCTTAAAAGCTTTGGAATGCTTTGCTGTGTCATACTTTTACGTAAGATGTAGTTTATGTGGTTGCTAAAGTATGGGAAAGGTGTTAGTAATCTCCTTTGTGTATATACTCAAAGTTCAATTAATTTGGTATTATAAGCTCGTCTTAGATGGGATGTATTATAGTTTGCTGTAGTTCATTCATGAATATTTCCTATAAATGTTTGCTTTAACCAATTCCCACAAAACTTAAACGGAACATTAGGATTGATAGAATATAAGAATAAGGATAAGTGGTATGACTGCCAACGAGACAAATATCCACCAAAGTTTCAAATGAGATGGATGTAAGCAATTATGGGCAACCGGACGGCCTTCAACAATGAGAAAAACCCATACCGTATAGTCGGCTATAAAACTCCCCGACATGAAAAATGTGAAAAAAATTCAATTGAAAAAATTTACGACCTTATTTATAACAAAACAATTTACGAAAAACAAATATCGCAGACATGAACCAATGACAACAACTCAACCACCGGCTCCTGACTAGAGCCAGGCGTATAGAGAATGTGGTTGGGTTAAACATGTTTGAAGGCGCCAACCCTCCCCTAACTTTGGACAGTGGTGTAACAGTAAAATATAAGAAAAAAAAACTAAGTCAGAGAAAAACATGACCTTGTGCAAAGCCAAAATATAAGTATTCAGATTGTAGAACCGTGAATTTGCATATGTGTATAACAATAATATTAAATATGGTTTTAATTTACTGATAACAAAATCAATACATATACCAATAAAAACAATATTCAAAGATCTAATTACAGTGTTGAATTGGTAACCTTTTAGAATACGTTTATTTAAAGGTTTGTTAACTTTTCCGGGCTCGGTAAACAACATCACCGTAAAATTTAGATGAAAGTTTTATTTTGATTTTCAAATTCTTTGGTCATTCCAGAGATTACACAGTTATCGGACTTTGACAATCAGATCAGATTGATAATAGATATTGATGCGAAGCAATAATTTGCGCCGATGATACTGTAGTAATGGCCGAAAATTTTTAGTTTGACGTCCAAGATTTTTAAATACATGTAGATATTTTTTTCCTCGTTTACCTTTGTATGGTTTTCATTTTTTTAAATATTTTTTTCTCATCTGTAAATAACCGTCTCCCGTAATTCTATATGACAGTCTTATACATATTTTTTTAATTATTTAATCAATGTGTTTTTCACTTCTTTGTAAAATGAGAGCTGTAAATTAAATAGTGTATTGTAACAGTCTAACTAACAGGAGTGTTAATAAACAAGATACTAAATTTGAAAGCCTTTAGGACATTGTAAAATGTTAGTAAGATTAATATAATAAACTAAACAATATGTCCTCGGGTAATAATATCAATTAGTTATCAGTGAAAAATTCTAATAGTCGACATAAAGTATCGCCACCATTTACTTTACAATGACACCTTTATTTATATATATTACTAAACATGGACCTTTATTATAGGTTAAAAGAGACATCAGATATACGTATTACGCATTTTTACGGGTGGTAAAACATGTTACACATTTGAGTTATCGCCCGTTAACAGACACAAATATCACATTAAAAAAAACATGTTATATCTCCCAATACTAATGTACCTCAGGATGATTCAGATACTGATAAGTTTTGTAGCTTCCTCTTATCAGATAGCTTAAGGAATTACAATTCTTCAATAATTCATCTAAAAACAGTAGCTTTAAAATGTAATTACACCTGCAAGTCCAAATCACCGGAGAAAACAACGATGCTTATACTAACTATGTAGGCTTTATTATCAGTGCATTACTAAAACTATTCACTAGAGTACTAGTTCTACTTAGTCTTTATCATTACGATGTTTTTTTTCAGATTTTGGAAAATATTCCGTTTTTTTTTTTTAATTTCTACCTAGGAAATGGAAAAAGAAATCGAAGGATAATGATGTATTTATTTATGGCACAAAATCAATCAGGTGACCCGAAATTGTTCTGTTCTCTCGTTGTTTTTATACTTTTATACATATATCCTCTCCCCTTCACTTTCACCAAAGCACACATTAATTGACGAAAAGAAGGACCAGTTATCACGGCCTTGAAAATGTAGTGTCGTGCTATATTAGCTTATCCGTCACGCGTTTTTATTTATTTATGTAAAATAAATTATTTTGAACATTTTAATATGTAAACAAGTAACACTGCCATGACCATCTTTATACATTCCCCATTCTTCTTAATTTTGTTCGAAGGTTTTTTATCGTTGCATTAGTTAAACAGTTGAACACATGAAATTGGCAGATGAATATAATTCTTTAATGTTATGAACGTTTATAGGATTACTTCTGTCCCTTATCCTCCGTAATTGATCTTTGTGGAACACCTATTTACACCAGAAAACTTTCATATAATCAAAGTCATGATAAAAAATAAGGTATGCCTCATTTTAACGCTGATTTGTGAAAAGATTTAGGACAGGACCAATGAAATAAGACAGAAATTAGTTATGGCGCACGTTTGTGCTAAGATAACTTTGTGAAACAGGCCCCCTGTTTATGTTTTTTGCTAATGATAAATATGAAAACAAAACTGCCAAATATACAAGCCTTACAATCCTTATGGAATATAAAACATCGAAAAATTAATAAATAAAAGCACAGAAAAAGTAATAAATACCTGTTACCCTTTCCTCAATTGTAGATACTATCGTAGCATTGGCCTCTTCCATTCCTTCGGCAACTAGCTTTTCCATTGCGTTTCTCATGGCAGCCTCTACACCGTTCTGTATTTCCTTCTCAATAAAAGTTTTCAGTTGTGCGTTCAGACTGGATACATCGAAGTCAGCTTTCAATACAGCTTTCATTGCACCTGTCAAAGGTAGATTAACCACTTCGTCAGCATTGCAGGTGCAGAACATCAGGATTCCAAACAGAATTAAAGAAGAAAGTGCCGTTCGGAACATTGCACTGTTGATAAAGATTGACAACTTAACTTTTGATATCTGATCAGTTTGATTTTGTAACAAGAGTTTGTTTGACAGCAACTTATTGTCACCTTAAATAAGCTATAGATAACAATCGCAAATAAATTCTTGAACCGAAATGTGTATTACCGATTGATTATCTAGTGTTAAAATCAACATTTTATGTCGATCATAAATAAAAATTGACCCCGTAGTATCATTGAGTAATCATATCTGGGGAGGAGGAAAACTATAAACAGAATTTTATTATATATTTATTGATCTATTTTCAAAACAGGAGAGTCCTTATATATCGTGCCTTCCGGTGTGCTGTAGTATATGAACGTAACTGACCTGTAGTGACCTGAAATGGATATATGACGCATGGACAATTGTGCCATACCTTCTAACTTTTATGTTTCTAAAGTATGTCTAACATTTCATAAAAATCGGATAAAATCGATAAAAAAAATCTGCTTGGAAAGATAGCATGCATTGATTTTGGCGCGACGATTGTCAAACAGTTGAGTTTATAATGTTAGAGTTTAAGTCCTTCTCGATATATTTCTGATAGAAGTTTGTTACAAAGTTAAGAACAGTTTGCATATCATAGTTCCATTTAAAGGGGAATACGAAGTTACAAAAGGGAATTCTATAATTTGGTGAAGTTCATATGAACATAAAAATGGTATATCTTTTGGGATAATAGCAAAACAATATTTACCTTATTGGAATCTGTACTAAAAAATCTTAAATTTTATAAATTGTTTTTTTTTTCAAGTTAAATCTTCCTTTTTTAAAATATTTATTTCATTTCTTCTACACAATTCGATCAAACGTGTGGGCTACTTACAAATCGAGACAATGAATACTAAAATATAATTGATTTTCAAATTATCATTTAAGATTCGTTTAAATTTTACCAACCATCAAAAGAAAAAGAAAAAAAAAACTTATATCCATAACCGGTATATGTCTATTAAACAGCAACCTGAAAAAGAAAATTTCCATGTAATGTTATCAATTCCCTCCTAAAATAGCAACGACCAATACAGCAGGCTAAAGGAGCTTTATGAATCGATTGATATGCAGCAAGGATTAACATTTTTGAAATAAAGTTACTAAGCAAATTCAAATCGACCGTATCCCGATGTAAACATTGAATGTGAATAGATCGAAAAGACCGCAAATGGGGAATTTGAGACGACCTTTTTAGAAATTTTATAAAAATATAATAAAAACCTCAAAAGTGATGATTTTCTATAAATTGTTTGAAATTTCACAGTGATATCATACTTTAACTTTGTTTAAACCTGTTTATTTACTTTTGACTTTAACTTTTTATCCCTTGTAATTTTTTCGGCGTTTTACGTTTCCGCAAATTGGCATTACTTTTCTGGGAAAAAAAGATGACGTTTTTGCAAAAAAAGTCTACGTTTCCGGAAATAAATACCTTACTTTTCCGAGAAAACAGTAACGATTCCGGAAAAAAATAAATTATTACTTTTTCGAGAAAATAATTAAGGAGTACATTGAACTTTGTCCTAAATGAAACCTCAACAACTGATTGTAGCAGCATGAATTTTTTATAACAGCAGTATGCATTGCACATTCAAAGTCAATATGATCTACCTCGGGCAGGAGTTAGTCTTCGGGTAGTACATAGACGATCATAGACATTTCAAGTTGGTGAAACATAAAAATATAACGATTCCGACATCATCATCTTTCACTAAGGTGAAACTTTCATGTTTTTTATATCTAGTATATTGTAGATATAAGACCAGAACCTTTTTTGTATAGAAATATGAAATAAATAATTTATCTAACATATATTCAAATATTAATAATTTACTACCAGGTAAATTTCCGGAAAAGTAATAAATACAATTTCTGGAAACGTATACTTTAAGTTTCCGGAAACGTAGTATTGTAACTTTGAAAAATTAGCGGAAATGCAATACGCCCAATTTTTTAATAACTGTGTATTTGCATTCAGGTGTCACAGGTCAAATTTATTCGTTCATTGTGTGTTAATTTACTTTTTTGATTGAGTTAAGCCTTCCAATTGATATTTTATAGTGTGTTTTTCTATGTTGTGATGTTATACTATTGTTTCAGAAAAGGGAGAAGGTTTGGTACCATTAAAACGTTTAATCCCGCTGCAAATGTTTGCACCTGTCCTAAGTCAGGAATCTGATTACAGTAGTTGTCGTCTGTTTATGTAGTTCATACGTGTTTCTCGTTTCTCGTTTTTATATAGATTAGAACTTTGGTTTTTCCGTTTGAATGGTTTTACACTAGTAATTTTTTGGGGCCCTTTATAGCTTGCTGTTCTGTGTGAGCCAATGCTCCGTGTTGAAGGCCGTACCTTGACCTATAATGGTTTACTTTTATAAATTTTGACTTGGATGGAGAGTTGTCTCATTGGCACTCATACCAAATCTTCCTATATCTATTTAACGGATAACCTACTTTATGAAATATTTATCTTTCTGCACATAAACGACTTTTTAATGTTATATTAACGAAAAGACCACATTTCTATATTAAAAGTTCACGTGATAAGAGCAGACCCGTGTATTCGAAAACTTCAGATATGCAAAATAGGCATATTTTGGGAAATTGTAACATGCTTAGGACTGCCCGGAACACACAAAAAATTGGTGACCTCAAAGATCTTAAGATTTTGTATGCACATGATTCTTTTCAATTTTTTTTTATCAATATGCAGAAAAGATTTTTTAAATTTCAGTTTCACAAGCTTCTAATGCATTTGTCTTGATAAATAATGAACAAAAAACATCGTGTATTTGCGTGTATACTTCTTATGACACAGTTCAACAAATAATTTCTTTTAAGATGCACGATTGTTGTTTAAAATATAATTTAGAACAGTATCGTCACCGGCATTGTTTTACTATTGATTATCTCGACCTTTTCATAATCAGAGTGCATTTTCTATAGTTCTCGGTCATCGGTTTTGCCACTGCAATAGATATTTATGTGTTTATTTCAAGGTTATTACCCGATAAAGGGAGAGACAAACGAGGGTATGGATGGAGTACCTTAATTTCTGTATTTTAAAAATTTTTATGGCATTTTTCTTTATATTTAAAAAAAAAATAACGCTAATTCTGTAAAATTCTCACGAAACTGATTTTTCTATTAAAATTTTCTGTCATAAGATGATTTCTTTATTCTGTACATCATTCATTTCTGTTATCAGTATTGTATTACCCAATTCTTTTATTTTCAAGTCATTCTTTAAACTTTTGCACCTCGTTATTCTCTTTTCTTTTTCGTTTTGCTCATTTTTCTTTATTCATTATTTTTTAGGGGACATTATTCTCTATTCTGTAAACACCATTTAGACCCTCATACATCAATTCATTAATGCGTTTCGTAAAAGCCATTTCAACACGAGTTTTTAAGCATAAATGTGAAACAGAACTAATGAATAAACAGTATTACTTAGAAACTTAGAAAAACAAATATGGGAATAATTTATGAAGAAGGCATAAATGTCGACCACAAATGTACACTTTTTATAATTGAAATAATAGTTATTTTAAGAATTGCTAACAAGTTTTGCCATAATCAGTACAATTATAGTTTAGAGAAAATTAGGATAATGTAATACGAAATTAGCAAAATTGAGTAAAATTTCTCCAGTAAATCCAAATCACTCATCATGATAAAATGCAGTGTTGACCAAAAAAGGATCAAGTATTAATCTCATCTGCATTAAATCGGTTGTTGATTCACGTCTTTGTTTAAGACCCCGTCACACTCGACCAAGACCATGAAGATCCCACAACGATCTATAAAAAATAAGATCGCGGTGAGATCGTGGTATGGTCGGCTTGAATATTCAATATTTCATCGTTTTCCCGTTCATACCACGACCTTGCTGTGATCCTGATAAGATGCTGCTACGATTCCGCTACGACAGTAACAAATTCTGGTTACGATCTTGTCTACGATTAATAAGACCTTACCATGACTTACACTATCTATGTATGCTTCTACCAAGACCTTTCCGATCGCATTACGATCTCAATACGAACCAAGACTCCACTAAGTTTCCTCTACGTTGTTACTGTGCTCTTCGTTCCTATAAATATCTTGACTTCCCATTGAGAAAACATGCCGCCAAAGGTAACAAAAACACTTAGAGGTCATGGTACTAAGAGTAGAGGTATCAACAGAATGAGGTCATGCAATTATCGTGACTAGGACGTAGTAGTATCGTAGTAAGGTCGTACTACGGACGACAAGCGCGTAGTAGGAGCGTACCATTGACTTCCTCATCGTAGTATATAATCGTATCAATATCGTAGTAGAAACTTAATAAAGACGAATCGGCATAGTCGCAGTGGAATCGTAGTAAGGTCGCAGCGAAATCTTTTCCATTGGCTTCCCGATTTGCAGGAGCGTGTAGTTCAGTGGTTGTTATTGGTTTATGTCTGTCATATTTGTTTTTTTGGAATTGTTTTGTTGTAAATGAAGCTGTTAGTTTTCTAGTTTAAATTGTTTTACATTTTTCCTTTCGGGACCTTTTTTAGCCGACTTTAAATGGTTTTTATCATTGAAGGCCATACGGTTGCATATGATTGCTTACATCCACTTCAACGGACGTCGATTAGAAAAGACAAAAATTGGACGTCGATTTGATGGCAACAAACAATACGTCGATTTAGAGGGGCATAAAATTGGCCGTTAATTTTGAATCTTATTATATTATGACGTCAGATTTGGACGTCGATTTGAGGAACAGACGTCGATTAGAGACCGGACGCCGATCCGAGTTTTATATATATACCACACCTATATAGCGATCAAAAGTATGTTGCTGGATCTCAATAGTTATGACTTCATTTCGAAATTACCGATTGAACCCCATTCATATGTAATCCGGCTGGCCAGGTCATTACTGGTTACCTTAATATTGTCAACAATATTTCCCTACGGAATGTGTTAGGCAAAGGGCCGAAACCCTGTAACTTGAATCTTATGTCTATAAACTGTAGTAGGACTACACAAAATGTACATCATTAGCTGCATATTGACAATATAATTATACAATACTTCATTCAAATTGGAAAAAAGAATTGAGCATACAAATGAACTTCCCGCCAACTGTGAAATAGTTTTGAAATTAAAATCATTTATTTTGTAAATATTGATAAGTTTGTAGTTGCAATGTTGTGTAAAATGTATCATATGGTACCGTGTTGTGTGTAAAAGGATTACAGTCTGTTGACCAATCTAGTTATATTAATTTTGAATTAAACTAAATTAACCTGTGAACCGATATCTACGCGTTACAAAAAAGAAGAAATCAATGTTTGAGTGGATTTTATACAGTGTATGAAGTGTGTAAGAATATCATTTTGTACATACAACACATAAAACATCAGCATTATCGGTGTACGGCGGACATCGTAAACTTCCACATTTAGTTCTGATTGGATACAGAAGAGCTCCATTTTCATTAGAAGACCTGTTATCGAATGGTTCAGCATTCAAGTCGACGCATATAAATTCATTCCTTCCGTTATGTCCTAAATTCGAGCTCATCAGGTAACCGCTATATTCGGCACTCCAGTCACTATAACAAGTTTGTCTTCCTACAAAATAACAAGAGTTCCATCCGTTAGGACGTAGTCTATACCCTGACATGTTACATTTTGCATTTTTTTCAATCTTTGAAAGTTTTATCAATAAAAGTATAACTATTAAAAGGAAAATTCGCGATTTTTTAGTTATCATCTTATTATGTTCATAATACCATAAAAACATATTCACCAAGTTTTATCTGGTTATGAACACTAATAAAGAAGAAAATTAGGAATTATTAATTTTATTTATTCGAACTTCCTGACTTCTGTGACGTAGTTTAAGTCTAACTGCATGCCGGGAGTGGATTTAATCTCATGTTAAGTCTTGTTCGTTAATCATCTAATAACGCGATTTAAAGCGCATCGACGACTATTTTGCGTATCTATTTACCATATAATAATTAAACGAGTAAAGTGATCAGCCGTGCAACTTTTTAAATCAAAATGTACGATTTATATTTTAGGGATTTCTGATATGATTATTGTATTAAAAGTAAATCATACAATAGAATATTTCTATGAATTTTTTATCCGACGGATATTCACTATCAGCTATCTAATGGTTCGTTATGCCCACTATGAGCTATCTATGGGTTTTTTTATGTCCACTATCAGCTATCTAAGGGTTCTTTATGCCCATTTTCAGCTAGCTAAGGGTTCTTTATGCCCACTATCAGCCATCTGAGGGTTCGCTTTGCCCAAAAACAGCTATCTGAGGGTCCGTTATGCCCACTATTAGCTATCTAGGTGTTTTCTATGCCCACTATCAGCTATCTGAGGGTTCGTTATGCTCACTTTTAGCTATCTGAGGGTTCTTTATGCCCCCACTATCAGCTATCTAATGGTTGTTTGCTGGTCATAGTGTGCTTCATTTCTTCTTCCGTCTATAAATTTTTTTATTCTCGTTTTGGTATTTTCTTACTTATTTTAGTGAGTTTCTGACTCTTTGCTGAATTTTCTAATTTCTTTTTGTTTGGAATTCGTATAATTCGATTGATTTTACATCTCCAGCGCTAGACTTTACATCTCCAGCGCTTGACTTTACATCTCCAGCGCTGGACTTTACATTTCCAGCGCTTGACTTTACATCTCCAGCGCTAGACTTTACATCTTCAGCGCTTGACTTTACATCTTCAGCGCTGGACTTTACATCTCCAGCGCTTGATTTTACATCTTCAGCGCTAGACTTTACATCTCCAGCGCTTGACTTTACATCTCCAGCGCTTGACTTTACATCTCCAGCGCTAGACTTTGCATATCTCCAGCGCTAGATTTTACACATCTCCAGCGCTAGACTTTACATTCCCAGCGCTAGACTTTACATCTTCAGCGCTTGACTTTACATCTCCAGCGCTAGACTTTAGATCTCCAGCGCTGGACTTTACATCTCCAGCGCTAGACTTTACATCTTCAGCGCTGGACTTTACATCTCCAGCGCTAGACTTTACATCTCTAGCGCTAGACTTTACATCTCCAGCGCTAGACTTTACACATCATCAGCGCAGGACTTTAAAAGACACTTTATAATCTGAGTGAGACCAACAGGGCTCCGTAGATATGTTGAACAAACATTTATAACTGATAGTGTAATAAAAATGCATGTTTGTATTCTCACCTTTAACTTCAGTCAAGGATTTGTCTTACTATACAAATCCTTGCTTCAGTCTAGCAAACATTTCCCGCTAGTACTGTGTAAATACAATGTGTATTATACTGACACTATCTGGTAAAGGCGTGGTTAAATTCACGATAATTAAAAGATTAGCATTATGTAATTTTAATCTTTTGATCTTCACTAGAGTGTTGCTAGGCCTCAAGGGTTCACCGTTTCAGGTGTGAAAAACATAAAAAAAAAATGATAAAAGGGAAGTGTGCGGGTTTTGAGACAGAAAAAAAAAATTATTTGGGGAGGAATATGGTGGCAAAATACTTGAATAGCTGTTATATATTTTTTAAATATTTTGCGTTAGCTCAGTTTTGAAATAAATAGGTGAGTATTTTGTTGTAAAATCGAAACTCTGAATTACTTTCAATTAAATAATTCTATAAATAAAAATGGCCCCCGAAAACGAGCGTATAAACCAAAAACTGTACTATTTTAAATTATCATCGGTAACCTTGAATATCTAAATGTGCAGAGAAAATTATATCAGTTACATTAATATAGTTTGGTCCGTCCAAAGCGATTTACATTTACCTAATCGGGAATGCCTTTATTAAAATATTTTAAATCTCACAACGTATAAATACTAGCTATTTGACCAACGATGTTTAAAAAAAAATAACAGAATCAATCTAACGTCAACTTTCCTTTTTGAATGGAGACAGACCGGCGGAATAAATTTTCAATGTGCTTTATATCTTGTACCTTTGCAAGACTTATCATTCATTCATAAACCCACTCTAAACCAGAGTCTGTCTAAAATGACAAAAATACTCCTAAAGCGGACACGCAGTATATTCTTTAAATTTCTGTGATTTAATACCAAGAAAGAAAAAATCCCGAAATTAATTTGATACTTAATATTTTTCCTGGAAATATTCACATCCTCATTCGGTCTGAAAATAAGATAAGAATTTGGTATACAGAACATGCAGAAGTGTGAATGTCATAAAACCTTGTTATATCAGAAACCATTATAAATGTGAACATGTATACGTAAGACCTCATGGGACGTCACCTAACCACATACAGGTAATATACAAGTAGCTCTGTTATACCTTAATCACTATCGATACAGAATGTACCAATGCAAAGAAAATTCTGATGATTGTGAAGCATGACCATTCATGATTTTAGAGGAGTCTTAGGTGGGGAATTGCCGGAACGATTTAAATTCTGACTAGATTTTTTCTCTCAATTTAAATCACTGAACTTCTTGTAAATTCATAAATACAACGTTCTTATTTTGTAACTTACGATGCATAAGTGTAATATTGGGAATGATTTATTCCCCCACAAGCTAACTAAATAAATAAATCAACCCCTAGCTGATCAGACGTTAATACAACTACTATCAGTCTATCCGGAGTGAAGTTTCTTTATTTCTTCAAATATAGGCTTTTTGGGAATCATTAGTGCACGTCCAGTGGCATATATATAACATGCATGTCGGAACAGGAAAATTGACATAAGGTACTAATAGAACCATGTTCACATTATTATACATTATACCCAACAATTGTGATGATGACGAATTTCTTAAACTGTTCGAGAACAATCTAATTGAAATATAAATCTGTGATTTTACTATGTCCATAACTTCGATGAACCAAAGCAAGTTAGATATCGACCTGTATTTAATTCAGATTGGTTCTGGATGTTTCTCTCTTATATTCAATATACATGTTTATATTTTAAATTGCGGCTATCTATAGTTCCGGTAGTTTGTATCTAGGCGTACAAACCAATGATCGACAAGTGCGTACATTTTTGTTAAATCAATATTTGTATGTGTCAAAATGTCCATAATTATTGACAACGAGTATATACTGACATTTTCCCCAATTTACCTTTGGAAAATATGTAAATAGATTTTTATTTTATCAAATCTTTTTTGGGGAATTATTTAGATTTTCATAAATATAATTCTTTACACCAGAAATGTTATTTGTAAACAAGCGTATGAGTTTAGTAATGACTATACTATATCACTATCGGACACACAAGACAAAGATGTATATTACACCTGATAGTTTTAAAATGGAAAGTTACAAGTTATCGGCCGTGTACACTGATCAATACCCTCATAAGTGAAGTGATGCACGAACTTGCATCATGTAATTGTGTGATAAGATTTTTTTGGCCCGACAGGAAATCACTTGAATACCTGGACGTGTCACCTCACAATACCTCTGGGAATAATTCCTTTAGCCATGCTGGTGATCAGATAAGGGAAGGTCCGAATTTATTTAAATAAGTTTATTACATGAAACTAAAAGAATTATGAACAAATTAGATTTTCGAAAACAATATTACATGGAACACTTATTTTTGATTTGAACTTTGACTTTTTAACTAATTCCCATTTAAATTTCTTGTTTCAAAAACGACAGACCATAGTTATTTAAAAAAAAAAAATTACATTTTCCGTATCAAGTTAGTTAGGAAAGGTTGCACAATCATGTCTATTATAATCATTTTTGTGACCCGGTTATCTGTTTATGCTTTCCTTGTCGAATAAAACAACCGTACGCTTGACAAGATATCGACACTCAATTACGACTACGTTAGGTTACTGCTGGTTTTGGTCCTTTGTGGTTTATAGTTATCAAGTGGTTTCGTAAACCGGGAAGATGACAAAATGGCCGCATGCAGAGAATTGATACTCTCAATTTAAAATCGATGGTGATCTCTCATCTAGCAGAATAAAACTTTAATATTTATGAATTTGTGCTTTTTTATACATAATGAACATAATATCAATTTTTCATTTTTTTTGCGAAGTTTCCCTTTAAACTAGTATGTTATGATAAGACCTAATATTCAGTTTTGATATTTATTTGGAAACTGTCCAGTTGTGTGTGTATCTATGTATTTATAAATGACCAATGAGATAAAAGACTCGATTCACTTGAGATACAAAAAGATATTGCTTGAGCGCGTTCACTCAAACACATTTTCCGGTCTCTTTAACGAAACGTTTTTAAATTAATTCAAGGTGTAATACCACCAAAACATAGTACGTCACATCAAGTTTCATGTTAAAAAGGGTCGAAAAAAATATTCCCATGAATTTAACCGTTGTAGGAAACTACTAGTAACCCTGCATTTCGTTACAGAACATTTTTCTGGATCATAAACATATAACAAAGCACCATTCTTTTTTTATTTGGTGTTTCATTGAATATTTTGGAAAATTGAGGAGACTTGGTTACTGAGGCTTGTAAACAAGGGGAAAAGGGTGAAACTTGCTTGGTTTACTTCCGGTGATGGTTATTTTCTTACATCAATGAAACACTGTGTGAAATTTTTACTTTAGTGCTGGACAGGATAAAACTTAAAAAGTTTATTCATGCCAAGTATTTCATTATTTGAAACAAACAAATTCTGAACAATTTTTTGAAAAATGCCAATTTAACAAAGATTGATAGGGAAATTATGGTGGTATTACCCCTTAAGACACAAAAAACAAATGTTCCGGATAGCCCTTTAAAGAATATACATATACGGTTGCCCATAATTGCTTACATCCACTTCGTTTAAAATTTGGTGGAAAGTTGTCTCATTGGCAATCATACCATATCTCCATATTTTTATATATGTACCCTTATATAAAATATACTGTACGATAAATAGTTAAACTTTATACATTAGGACTACGCAGTCTTTCGGTTTTTTTCCGTTTGATTTTAGATATCCCCATTTACATGATATTGATTAGTTGATTTATTGTTGTTAACGTCTAATGGCAAATAGTTCATGCATGTTCAGACGAGAACAAATTTACAGAGGTTAACGGTGGGAAGGTGAGGGTTTGTTGGATAGGTGCAGAAATTTTACATTGTATTGTACTAATTGTATGTATGTAAATATTGTATTCCTCATGTTACACGTTTGTAATGTGTCTGAGTGATCAAATAAAGTTGTTGTTGCATCGTCCATTTACGAACCACATCAAATATTTGTAAAAAGGGTTCTTTATAGCATAAGACAGCGTGGCACTCTCCCTAAACAAACGAGACAAGGGCTTTCACGTCCCTATTTTGACCGGACGAGGCTGTGCATTTATACAAACCGCACAGCCAAACGAACACCCCTCTCAAGCATGGGGGTTTCCTGCCGGATAAAAGTACAGAGATGATCACATTTCTATACTCAATTCAACCCTTGGAGTCATTCACAAGAAAGAGAATAACATAAAATAACAAAATTAAAGCACAGTTCCTTTGCTTTTTTGTGTTTTTTTTTTGCTGTGGAAATACCGACTTTGTGTCATGGATGGATACATCATATCTTTTGTGATATATATACCTGGGATTATTATTTTAGATGATTTGCGCCTACTGTGACACACAGCGCATGCAACCTCCATATGACCCATGGTACGCCATCCGTGTGGCTTAACACGGGAATGAATTTCGTATTCAACACCATAAAGCTGGGAGTTGTCATATGACTGTCGTTGTCCAATCTCTGCATCATTTGGCAAACACAAATAGTTGATTCCACCTCCTGTGTTGTCAAAATAGTTACCGCCTGCTTGTCCTAAAGTTATAGATTCATAATATGAAATATACGTAAATACTCATTATTTTTACTTTTAGAATCTTCTGTAAAGAAACATTTTTTTTTCAATTTTTACAAATCTACTATCATATCTAATATCCAAAAATATTCCCGTGCGATGCCAAACAGATGACAGAACTTCTTTTTATTATCTTCCAATAGTATCGTTCGGTCATCAGTGATAGGAAAAGCTTTCCTGCTCGCTTTACAGCTCAATCTTCCCTATGCCAATACTTGAACGCCTAACATATCTTTTAACATGAACTAAACCTAAATGGGGTATTCAATATGTAGAAAAACAAGACGTGAACGATAGAACAGATGTGATTCAATACCGCTTTCGCAGATCTAAGAAATTCAAAAATTTGATTAACCAGTATTTAAAAAAACACAAATGCTTTTGATTTACTTAAATTTCAGCCAATCGTCCAAAAAACAACCAGAATAATCACCTTACTTTTTGAAAATTTCCGTAAATTAATAAACGATTCAACTTTGTTCCAATTTTACACTTTTTCAAATTTCAGCCCATCAAAACCGTCCAAAAAACAACCAGAATAACCACATAACAATTTGAAGATTCCCGTAAAATAATAAACAATTCAACTTCGTTCCAATTTTACACTTAATGAAATTTATCTATATCAAAACACATTTTTTTGCAAGCTTTGTATAATACCAATTATTATATAGCACAATAAATCCAACGATCTTTGTATAGTCCACTCTTTGAATGTACACGTATCATTACTGTTTTTCGTCACAGTATTTAAAAATCTTACAAATATAAACGGCATTTTATTGAAATTAAGAAACATTAACACAGGTCCTGATTGCATTAACCGTCGGTATCAACTATATTCAATGACACTACCGTTCAAATCTTTACACCTCCCTATTTAAAAACATAGAGCACTTATTATTTCGAAAACGTATGAAAAAGGTAGAAGTTTAATTTTTTATTATACATTTAAGTAAACAGGGTTTAAAATCAAAGTAAAATGAATGTTCAATCAAACTTTATTATGAAAACGTTAAAAACATTAATTACCTGTATAAACAAGTTCAGCGCCTGTTGGGCAAGCCTTTCTCCCCCATCTTGTATATGTCACACCTATTCCTTAAATTATAAAACCATTCATAATGTATATGGATCTATAAATATAACTTATTGATTGATGGCTTATTTTCGTCTACCAACTATATAATAATGTCTATTCAGGACTATAACATGGAATCCAATACCGCCCAGATACGGGACAAGCACGCTTTTATTAGACTACCGAGGGAGTTGATGTAAATATATATGTAGGACTCTAAAGTGCGATGGGGACGCTAAAACGCTCATTTTTAGATCTGTTCCATCTTAATGTTTCTCTAATTCTTCGTCAATTTATCCCTTTCTGCACCCATTGTATAAAAAAATTTAACCAACGTGTGGTTCGTTTGATCTCAGTTCTTCATTGGTTAAAAATCCAATTATGACGTCGAATTTACTTGCTTTCCTCTGAACTTCCTATTGTGACGGCATAAAAAAGGCGACCATGCCTGATGACGTCACATAGAAAGAACACATCTTTTTACAGATCATTCGAAAAGACGGAATACGTTTGCCTGCATATTGTTTGAAAATCATTAGAGAAACAGATTCCACCACCAAATCTCGTGTAATTCGATATTTATCCTTCCTCGACAGTTAAATTTTAAATATTTAAAATGCTCGGCGAGCCTCGCGTTTTAAATTTGAAAATTTAACTGTCTCGAGTGGATAAATATCGTATCACACTCGATGCAGTCGTAGAATCTATATTTATCTAAGGGTCATATATACCAATTATTTTACTCCTGGATCTTCACTTAATATATTGATGGAAATGCATATTGGTGGAACTACGAAAAAACTATATAATTAAACGATAAAACTTATTTTGCGTAAGTCAGACAAGGTATGATTCTTCGATATACGTCCGGAACCTCACATTGACAAACAAAAACAGGCTTCCTTTCCCGTGAACATGGATTTGAAAAAGGCATAAAGTGTAGTAAACGTTAAGACGGTAGTAAAAATTCATTGGCAGAAGTCTGAAGGCTAATCATTCAACCGACAAAAAGTAAGGCGCTCTCGTAGTGAATTTCGTATTATTTGAACGTTACAAAACATCTCTTAAAGTTAATCTTATTTTAACTCATTTACATAATTTGGAGGACTGGAAATCAGATGCAATCGAATTTTTGTTAGTTATCCACAGAAATTATCCACTATATTAAAGAAAAAGTTAACAACGCTAGATTTCCCACTATTTTTAAAGGAGTTTGATCGAACCGACATACATTTCGAAGAAACATGACCGTGATGACTTAGTAAAGTAAAATATTAAGAACATAAGTTCGTACCTTTAAATTGTTCCCTAGCTGTGGCATTAATTATAACATGAGCCTCTCCCAAACCATCGTCAACAAGTTGTTTCATTACATCTTTCATAGCAGCTTGTACACCTTCCTGTATGTGTTGTTCAATGTATGCTTTCAGATGGTTGTTTAAATCCGTTGTATCCAAATCAGCCTTTAATGTAGCTTTCACGCCATCAATTAAAGGCATAGAAATCATACCTGGACATGCTTTATTATTACATATCGCAGAAAGACAAGGATTCGTCAACAAAACAAAATAAAACATAACAACACGCACGATATATATGCAACCCATTTCCACGTACATTTTCTGCTTTATTACTAAGACAGAATACGCTATGTATCAAGCAAATAACACAACACTTATTTGTTGCATGACAACACTAAATTAAAACACTTCACATCTTTCCAAGAGATACTTCACTTTATTTGCGACAAAATAATGAATACAAATAGTTTTTACGCATTTACACATAACTTTTATATATGACTGTAGTCAATCTGTACTTTTTCTATTATTACTTATAAAAGTATTTGTATTTCATATATTCTCATGCATTCAATATAAAAGGTCACAAAAGAGATGAAATAGGACATCAACCTCAAACAAGTCGTAGAGATACTCTTACATCCTTTAATTACGATCAAATGTCTGACCTAGATGGCAAGGTCTAAATCGCAAATTAAAAAAATAGAGTTTAGAAAAAAGGTCAATTAAAAAAAAATTGCAAGTTAATAGTTCATTAATTCATGGCTCGCAAATAGCCTATATAAATTGAATCAAGTGAATTGACAGGGTATGTTTCACAACATCAATTGCCATACGACGCTAAAAAATGTCTGGTAAATGATAATTGAAATAAACAAACACACGGAACACCCAAAGAAAGAAAGAAATAAACATGCGGAACTCTCTCTCTCAAAAAAGAAGGAAATGAACGTCAAAGTACTTGACACTTACCTTACATAACCAATGGATAACAAATATTTTGTACTTACTATTATTTTCTTGGTACTTACATTATATGGTGTATAAAAACCAGTTTAATGAATGTCAAAGTGCCATCACTTTAAACTCTGGCGGCAAAGAAAAAAATGAAGAAAAAAAGCACGAAACAAAGTCAAGACTTAGTATCCAGCAAACACGCGTGAACGTGATGATCATCAAAATTAGGAAAAAAGGTGCATTCTTATAAATAGACAGAGTATAGAACTAATACGTAACTGGAAGAATGTAGCAACTTTCCATTTGGTAGATCATCATAGAAGTAATTTGAATACATTTGGCGCCAAAATCTTATAAAAATATCTAGGAACATCAATGTTTTAGGATATTGGTCGCATTTTGAGACTATGCAATACAATCTATATTATAACCATATACATTTATTCCAATGGCGAAAGAAAAATCTAAATTTCCTTACTTATAACCATGCTGGGATGCTATTCGTTAGAACTGTTTTTAGATCTGTGTCAGCGATCTGTGAAATTATCATAAATCTTATCACAGTATATATATCAGCAGAAACAGACCTCAAGAAGAACGTTAAATTTGACCAAAAAGTAAACTACTTCACACCTAAACGCATACTAATTTGGTTATTTTTATATAGATTTATATTCTCTGTATTTATTTATTCATTCATGTGTATCAAGCACGAATTCATCACAGTGAACTCGACACTGTGTTTACAAAGGCTGCGAAAGTAGTTTCGGTAATATGGTCTATCGATGTGTAAACCGAGGAAAACACTCTAACGGACCAATTACATTCAGGTATTTGAAGATATGTAAATCATATAAGAACTAGAGAGGTGATATAGTGATCATAGATACCCCCACCCACAGCTACAAACAGATCGTGATTTTGTTTTATAGTCGGAAACATTCTATTTAAATTTCAATCAATTTCAAAAAGGGTTCCCCAATTATTATCCGTAAACTACAGACCCTAACTCTTAAACGGTTAAAGTGAAAACAACCAAAAATATTATGCAAACAATCTTTAATGTCCAATAACTAAAGGTAAAAGTAGTATACCGCTGTTCAATAGTCATTATTCGCTTAAGCCAAAACAAATCCGGGTAACAAACTAAACCGATGGAAACAGATCAACTATAAGAGGAAAACAACGGAACAACAGAAACACTGAACTAAAACAAAAGCAAACGCCAACATACATAGAAACGGACTGTAGATAACAACTGCCATATTCCTGACTTAGTACAGGACATTTTAAGAAAACTAGAGGCCCTAAAGAGCCTGTGTCGCTCACCTTGGTATATGTGCATATTAAACAAAGGAAACAGACGGATTCATGACAAAATTGTGTTTTGGTGATGGTGATGTGTTTGTAGATCTTACTTTACTGAACATTCTTGCTGCTTACAATTATCTCTATCTATAATGAACTTGGCCCAGTAGTTACAGTGGAAAATATTTTGTAAAAATTTACAAAAATTTACAAAATTTATGAAAATTGTAAACAATTGACTATAAAGGGCAATAACTCCTTAAGGAGTCAATTGACAATTTTGATCATGTGATTTATTTGTAGATCTTACTTTGCTGTACATTATTGCTGTTTTCAGTTTATCTCTATCTATAATAATATTCAAGATAATAACCAAAAGCTGCAAAATTTTCTTAAAATTACCAATTCAGGGGCAGCAACCCAACAACATGTTTCAGGGCAGATAGATCTTGACCTAATGAACAATTTAATCCTGTCAGATTTGCTCTAAATGCTTTGGTTTCAGAGATATGAGCCAAAACTGCATTTTACCCTATGTACTATTTTTTAGCCATGTCGGCCATCTTGGTTCGCGGGCGGGGTCATCGGACACATTTTTTAAACGAGATACCCTAATGATGATTGTGGACAAGTTTGGTTAAATTTGTCTTAGTAGTTTCAGAGGAGAAGATTTTTGTAAAAAATTACAAAAATTTACGAAAAATGGTTAAAAATTGACTATAAAGGGCAATAACTCCTTAAGGGGTCAACTGACCATTTTGGTCATGTTGACTTATTTGTAGATCTTACTTTGTTGAACATTATTGCTGTTTACAGTTTATCTCTATCTATAATAATATTCAAGATAATAACCAAAAACGGCAAAATTTCCTTAAAATTACCAATTCAGGGGCAGCAACCCAACAACGGGTTGTCCGATTCATCTGAAAATTTTGGGGCAGATAGATCTTGACCTGATAAACAATTTTACCCCATGTCAGATTTGCTCTAAATGCTTTGGTTTCAGAGATATAAGTCAAAATCTACATTTCACCCCTATGTTCTATATTTAGCCATAGCGGCCATCTTGGTTGGCAGGCGGGGTCATCAGACACATTTTGTAAACTAGATACCCTAATGATGATTGTGGCCAAGATTGGTTAAATTTGGCCAAGTAGTTTCAGAGGAGAAGATTTTTGTAAAAGTTAACGGACGACGACGACGGACGACGACGGACGACGGACGACGGACGCCAAGTGATGAGAAAAGCTCACTTGGCCCTTTGGGCCAGGTGAGCTCAAAATGGTGGGTTGAGCCTGGTTTATTGACTAGCGAACTCCCCCCTCCCCCCGCTTTTATGGCAATGTAAGACATACCGCTAAAGTGACAACACTACGTGACAGGAATACAGTACAAACAAACGCACGAACATTCAGCACAGAAAAATACATAAATAATTAATATAATAGTACATTACAACATGTAAACCGCAGAATAACAATGGACACCTACCATAAATTTACGACAGCACACCATTTTATAGTTGCTTAAAACTTAAAATCATATAAATGAAGTAACTGATTTTTTTATCTTAACTTTTACATACATATAGAAATAAAAATAACTCGACTATACTGACAAATAAGACATATGTTAAATGCACCGGAAGTACAGAATTCAAAACCCAAACGATATAGGCAGACAACAACTCAGTACAATGACCCATAGGACCCACACGTATAAGAAAGTAACAACAAAATGCACGTAAACGGGAAATGTAAATACCAAACCACGTGATCTCCAGCAGCGAACATAAGCTATAACAATATATCCAACCGGACTTACAAAAGAAACATCATAACTTAGTACATGAATGTTGAATATATAAATACCGACACACGTTGTATAGCAATGCGTATTCACATTCCTCAAAACAGTCATACTCGGGAATAGGTCACGTTCGGTACTAAGCAGACCAGACGACGTAGATGGTAATCCACAGTCTAAGACGTGGTAAAAATAACGTAAGTTAGTTCAGACACAGACACATCGTATAGATCAACCAATTTGTGATGGTGTCCCTAAAATTTGCGGAGTGTCATTTTTAATCTTTCCTCCTCATAACCCTGTTGGAGCAGTTTCTGCACACTCCTGTATATGAAGTCCGTATAGTGTGAACATGCACCAGCATGTCTTTTTTTATTTGCCCTAGGTACAATGATGTAAGACAGATCTTACTGGACTGCATACACTCAATTGTTTATAATCTTGACATAAATATTGACTTATTACTATTTGAAAACAGATTATTTTAGTATGATACAAAAATGCATTAATTTTTCAATTAATTTTAAAAATCGGGACTCTATTTATTATTTGAAAGCCAAAGTGTGACGTACGGACGGACATGAGGATTCCTTATGATTATCTTAGACTAGACTGGGTAATTGACAGAAAGTTTTCTTTTCGTAACTTCTATTGCACATATTGAACCAGAATTTGCAAGGAACTGTCAATTTCTTTCTTTTTTTACTATGTTTTTTAAATCTGAATATGCCTTTAGTATCAACTAGCGGCAGGGTAATAGTACCACCAGCTTGACAATTGCATCGTGTATTAACTAGACATAGGAGATTTTGCGCTTTAACCTTACAGGTGATTAATTGCAAGATAAGTTGAAGGATTATTTTGTAACTAAACAATTGCTGTTTGAGTATATTTTACACTTGACAACTAAATAACATATACACGACGCAGTTTTCTAACAATAAAGTACAATTTCTGTATATCATGTCCGATTTATTATTTTCACAGGAAATTGAAACACATTTTACATTTGACGTTTAATATGACGTGTCAGCGATCGAAAATTTGTTTTCATAATAATCATAAAAAATCAATATCAAATTAATGATTTCTAATGTTGTTTAATATTTTCAAAAAACGTAATTGAGGCAGTCTTGCTCCTGTGTTTTTAATATATTTGTTAGAGTGGATGTTGATCTACTAAGTTTTGAAAGTACATTGGGGATGTGATAGCATTATGTCATTCTATTATTACAATGTATACATGAAACCACGATTCCCTAAAATAACTACAGTAAAACCTGAATGGAGAAATTTAGCAGTACATATCATTATACTGTTTATCTATATCAAAGATAAAAATATCTATTTCGTACAGACAACACACTGAACGTCAGCATAATTCGTGCAGGTGGACATCTCAAACTACCACAAGCCGTTCTTACACCGTACACTAGACCCTGATTGTCGTCGGTTGATCTAGGGTCAAATGGTTCAGCATCTTTATCGCCACATATGTAGTCCATAAAGTTTTGTGTTTTGTGTGTACTTATAAAAAAGAAGATGTTGTATGATTGCCAATAAGACAACTCTCCATAAGAGACCAAATGACACAGAAATTAACAACTATAGGTCACCGTACGACCTTCAACAATGAGAAAAGCCCATACCGCAGTCAGCTATAAAAGGCCCCGATATGACAATGTAAAACAATTCAAACGAGAAAATTAACGGCCTAATTTATGTACAAACAATGAACGAAAAACAAATATATAACACATAAACAAACGACAACCACTGAATTACAGGCTCCTGACTTGGGACAGGCACATACATACATAATGTGGATGGGTTAAAAATGTTTTAACCCGTATTCAGATCAATAATCACCAATTACTGCTATACTTCCCATTATCAAGACTAAAGCTGCTCAAACCCATCATTCATATTAGTTGAAGCGTCATTGTGTGGTACTTTACCGGCCGACATTGGAAAAAAAAACAATATGAAAAAACTTGAACTATTAAACGATATAAAGTATTTAGAATATTAAAATAATAATGTACCGGATAGGTTTTAAAGTGTTAAAACAATGCCAATATTAAGATCTACACTGATCATGTAAATTATTGTAGAAAGTTACAAGGAATCATTAGAACAGTCGATTTCTTTCTATGACAAACTGCGCAAGGAAACTATTTGTCTCCTAAACTATTTAACCATCCATGTAACTTCGAGTTATAAAATGTCTGGTATTCCACACCAAATAAAACGTGAGTGTCATGTGGTTGAAATTGTCCATTGTCAGAATCGTTTGGAAGGCAAATGTAGTTTGATCCACCACCTTTGTGCTCTGGATGATTTCCTCCGGCTTTTCCTAAAACAATCATAAAAATATCTATTTCGTACAGACAACACATGTAAATACCATGGTGTGAATAGTTGTACTGTAAGAACGGCAAAAGTGATTTAGAATTATTTAAATAGGCTAAAAAACAACAACAAAAAAAAGGAAACCAAAAGTATGAACGAAAATATTTATAAGGAATCATAGAATGGGTAAAAAAAACTTGTACAGCAGCTTTGAAGACCCTGTTTAAATTCAATTAGGGAAATTACATTATTACACTAAAATGGACATATGAAGCTATCACGGGTGTCACATGTGGAGCAGGATCTGCTTAGTAATACCCTTCCTGACATCACCCCCATTTTTTGGTTGGGTTCGTGTTGCTCATTCTTTAGTTTTCTATGTTGTAATTTGTGTACTATTGTTTGTCTGTTGTCTTTTTCTTTTTTAGCCATGGCGTTGTCAGTTTATTTTCTTCTTATGAGTTTGAATGTCCCTCTGGTATCTTTTGTCTCTCTTTTTCTATCATAATAGTGGAAATCGTAACATACTTTGAGGATTGAAAGCGTTGTAGTTGTTGATTATCATGTTTTCGTTTCATGTGTTGCGAATTTGATTCTTAACCATTTCTCTCTTTGGTCATACATGTATTATAGTCTGCCCGAGACATCTGGCTTTCTTATCCTTTTTTTTTGTTTCCATTTCCTGTTGTGTAAGAAAATAGAATCGCCACATTTTAGGGGTAATTTCCAATGTAGTAAGGGAATAAATAGATTCTTGTATGTGGCAATTCAAAGAGTATTTCGTGCGCTAAAGCATAGGGCTTATCATTTCAGAAACATTTGATATCACACGCAGGTTTAATGTGGAAGTTGTGTGTGTCTTTTCCACTACAAATGTCTTATGAGTAATTTTGGATGCCCTTTCTTTTCCTACAATTGTATATAATTTATATCCTATGTCACTTCGCTGTTCGTCTTGACTCTTCTTTATTTCTATAAGTATCGTTTTCCTAAATAGTCCCATCAGTAGTTTTGAACGTTTAAAAATATCTCTCATGTCTAGTTAACATTTAAAGGTGATAAAAAAACATGATACTTTAACTTAGATGTGAGGTTTTCAAGTGATTTATGTCACTCATTGCATTGTCCAATTTACATATGTTATTTGAAAAATTAAGACATTTGCAGCGACGAACTAAACATATACTACCTGTGTAAACCAGTTCAGTAGCATTAGGACAACTTTTCCTAGCCCACCTGACGTACGTTACTCCTATATCTGTAAAGACATGTTTACATGGAAGAGATGAAGTTTATTTTGAAAAAGCAAATTCGGCTTATTCTTTTAAAATTACATTCAGATAAAGGATTGACTTTCTAGCAGGAGTGACAGACGATTCCACAATATATCTAATATGAAACAATCATACCACATATAATTATTGTTATCTCTATATAACCATTAAATACATATTTATGAACAAATAATTAGATTAAATTAATTTTGTACATTCGTTTCAAAGACACCATAATGTTTATTGTCAGATAAAGTCCACGAGGCAATTCAAAATCTATGGCATAAACATGTAGTTATGAGAGTTGAATGCTTCGTTATTTTTTAAGTTTTATAAGGTTGTTAGACTGTAAAATTATTGGTCGTGTGCATATTTTGAGTATCCAACGTGAGTATGAACGCATGTGCGTTAAATGTGCTTCCATTAACACGTTAAAAACCCTCAATAACCTACAAAAAGAAGAATAATTAATAAGGTCAGGTTTTTAACTAATTAGCTCTGCTGAAAAGAATATGCTGAATATGGAAATTTTAATCTAATATAATACTGACTGGAAGAAACGATGTGCATCAGTCGTATATGGGTAATAGGAAGCGCTATCTTAATTTTTTACAGAAATGATGTAAACAATGAAAATTACTTCTACTACTAGGGTTTTATATCGACTATGATCTGCCATTTCTTATTCCATTATTCGGAACATTCTATCTAATAGTATGTTCTAAAAGAAAAACCTGTTAGTGTGTGATCAATCAGCGGAGTTTCAATTTTCGATAAGTAATAAATAAACAATAAATGATATAGCCATTTACAACTTTCTTTAACTTAACAGGTGCAACAAATTTCACTCTACGTAGCCATTATTCCACACCTTTAAGTTTGTCTTGGACAGATGTTTCGATAGATTCATTTGTAGTTGCCATTTTCTTATCTATCAGCGACTCCATTTTGTCTGACATAGCAGCTTCAATACCTTTCTTTATCTCCTGTTCGATGTAAGCCTTCAAGTGGGTGTTCATTTTGGTAAAATCTAAATCGGCTGTTGGGGGGGTGTTGTTGGCGGGTTATGAACTACGTTGTTTTAAAATGTAGCGATCATTAATAAGTGTTATACACATTTATAAAAATACATCTTTTAGCTACATCCTTTTTAAAACCAACTGTTTACCACGCGTGCGTTGTAGCTCTTGAAATGTCGCTAACATACGTACAGGGCCTCTGCTCCATGTAACCTATTATCATTTTGGTCAATTTTTCTTTACATATTTGTTGGCTACATGTAGCTATGCATGTGTGTCTGTACCTTCACGTCAATTAAACGCAATTCAAATATGTCTAAATTCAAACACTGCTTTATAGTATCAGTCTAGATATGGTAAAATGTTTTAATTATACGAAAATGCATATCAAAAGTAAATGAACTGTAACATAACGCATGAAATATCTAGTTATGAAAGAATAATGTACAAAACATCACCCAATACCTGTAAGGACAGCTGATACATGCTGGTGAGGCGAGAAAACTGTCACTTTCACAAGAGCCATAACAAGTTCATACATAGGTCAACTTTAACAAAACTAATCAGTATATTTTACTGTGTACCAAATGTAAAAGGTTCGATATACAGTTATGACACGAGATAACAATGGAACATTTCTTACGAGGACTGATAGTTGTTGAGAAAATAATTTATTAATTTTTTTTTTTAAAGCTCAGTAAATTCCACAGAAGAAATTGTATGATTAATTGTAGTTGTTAACAGGTTATTTTTTATATTCGTAAAATATTTACAAATACTGTATATATAAAATTATTTTATCTGCTTTGCCCTTAAACTATTTTTAACACCTGTAATGTTGGAAAATCAGCTCATTACAAAAATTACAAACTTTTATAAATCAGTCCTACCGATGATTGGGGTGAATTTCAAGATTTAAAAAATAAAAAGTCTGGTACTTTAACAGTAACAATGTTTTTGTTTTAGTTGTGGTAAATTGTTTGTTTGATTTTGCTTATACTTTCCGCTACCTACAAGAATGAAATGTTAAAGTACACAATACTAAAGGCAGATGATTAAGTACAATATCAGAGACATTGAAGATAAGATATGAAACTACTGTCGCAGTGTCAATTTTAACATAAAGATTCGGTTGTCGATTTTATAGAGAAATATGAAGGTTTTAATTTCCTGTTTATTTGTGTTAACTGGAATATTATACGTCAACTGTCAGATTCCAGGTGGTTGGAATCATATAGACGTTGATACGATTCCAGATATAGTGCTTAAGGCTGCCAAGGACAAACTTGACTCAGAAAACATATTATTTAACACCACCACCGTTGTGAAGGCAGAGGAACAGGTAAGTCAAAGAGGAGCTGTTCTTAACATACTTTCACTCTGAATAAAAGCATCTTGAACCACATTTTGGATTCTGCGATATGTTCATTCTAAAACGTACAACAACGGCTTTTGCACTTTCATGTCGGACATACAAGAATGAAGTAAACATATCTATGACACTCTTTAAACTTTGACAAAAAACGAAAAAAGTGGGAAAATATTTAGCCCGCCAAAATGAGTCATTTGAATTTAATATAGTAAGCCGGAAAGGCAAATGTTTTAACGTGTACAGTCTTGTGTGCACATTATTCGTTATAAGTGAAGGAAATAACCAAGAAAACCCGTATTGTTCCTCTGTTCAGTTTAAATTGTTCAAGTGTGTACCTAGGATTGTTCTTATATTTGTATTAGTTTTCTTTTATTTACCCCCACCCCTAACAATCAAGACACTTGAAGCTAGCGCTCGATATTTTATACAAATTGTCAATCTTTGCTCCATGTCCTGTAAAAAGAGGCGGAAGATTATTATAAAATAGTAACTCGAAGAGAAACCGACAAAACCATAACAAAAAAGAAAAACGACAAACAATAGTCCACAAAACACCATGCAGAAAACTGAGCAACACGGATATGTATTCTTGAAAAAAAAATTTAAATGAGGATCAGGATTTTTTATGATGATTTAAAAAAGGTTTAAGGGAAGAAAATATGATATATGTGCGGTATACAGGATACGGTAAAATAAAATAAATATCTTTAAATGTGAATGGGTAAAACAAAACAAAATATTTAATACCTAATATATGTAACATAAATATTGTTTCCCAACTAAGTAACATGTCATTTTCAGGTAATAAGTGGATGGAACTTTAAGTTTACAGTCCGACTAGACAATGTGAGTGTAAAATTACTGTTCTTAAGTTCTGAGAGATAGTCTGATTAAATTGTAAAAAAAATATAAAAAAAAATACCGAACTCCAAAGCAAATTCAAAAAGGGAAAGTCCATAAAAACTGACAAAATCAAACGTTATCAACCAAAGGAACGAGTGGATAACAAATACCATATTTCTGACTTAGTACAGGCATTTCCCGAAGAAAATGGTGGTTTAACCCTGGTTTTAATAGCTAGCTAAACCTCCCACTTGTATGGCAGTTGTTTATAGTTCTGTGATATTGACAAAATTGGGTGAGCAATACAAACAGATATGATAACTGTACCTGTAGAAAAGTTTACGGTAATATTGTACTAAAAGCGCGGAAATCACTATGTGATCCGTGTAAACTCATCGAACCTTTAAACAAACTTATTGTGAAGGTTATCTTACCAATGTTGTAATTGGATCTTTGAATATAGTTTACATTGGCACACAAATCAATTTTGTCATTAGCAAATTAAAACATAACTAAATTTGTATTCTTTTGCAAACGTTTTTTTTTTTTGATTTATAAATACACATCCACGTTCATTTTCTATATAGAGATTACTCTATCTATATATCACATTATACATATTTATTAACAGGTTAACTATCCTACTGCCTGTCGATACTTTTATTTTGGCATTGCACAAGTCATGTCTTCTTTGACTGTCCATGAAATTAAAACACTAAATACCTGGGATGCGTTTTAGTTGATTTAAGTCTCTGATGCATGATTTTTATTATTAATTGTTTTTGGCTTTTAACTATCTTTCAGTAACTGCGAGTACTCTCAAATCGTACGTTGGTGTTAATTTGACCTGTTGATACAATGTGTAATGTATGTTTGTTATTTAATGTTTACTTATTCAGTGTTATATCTAGTCTCACTGTTTTTAATATAAACCACCTTTGATAAGTGTTTAGTATAACGATATATTTTCACTTTTGTTCTCGTACTTGGAACAACAAAATTATTTATTTTGTAAAAATTATTTCCGTACTCCATGTATACTTTACAACAAAATTATTTTTATTTACCAGTGTACGTTATATTATTTGGCGGCATTTTGTCCAAGGTTATGGTTGTCTTTCTGATACTGTTTTAATCTAACTCCCTTGTTTTATTAATTTTGTATTTACATTGTGTCATGGATCAAATTTATTCGTTCAGTGTATGTTCACTTGTTTTTGTTGATATGTGACAGTCTTTGACTGAGTTAAGCCATTTCAATTGATATTTTATAGTGTGTCTTTCTATGTTGTGATGTTACACCATTGTTTCAGGTAGGATGAAGGTTGGCGCCAATTAAAACGTTTAAACCCGCTGCATTTGTTTGCACCTGTCCTAAGTCAGGAACCTGATGTTCAGTGGTTGTCGTTTGTTTATGTGGTTCATAACTGTTTCCCGTTTCTCGGTTTTTATATAGATTAGACCGTTGGTTTTCCTGTTTGAATGGTTTTTCACTAGTCATTTTTGGGGCTCTTCATAGCTTGCTGTTCGGTGTTAGCCAAGGCTTCGTGTTGAAGGCTGTACTTTGACCTATAATGGTTGACTTTTACAAATTGTGACTTGGATGGAGAGTTATCTCATTGGCACTCATACCACATCTTCTTATATCTATATAATAGGTTAATGTGACAATACTTGAGAGAAAGTCTGATTAAATTGCAAACACTCGTTTTATCTAGTTTTATCTGCTACCCTTATTAGGTTTTTATTCAATTGAAAAAGGGATGGAACGGTAGTACAATAATGTTTTCTGATTTAGATTTGTAAATGCACTTTTACTATAAAATTGAATGTTGATTTTTTTCTTTTAAATTTATACAAAATGAAAGCAAGTAACCACGAAGCGCTAAAATGTGATGGTCACTTACTTTCACTTCGCATTTTTTTTTTCAAAAACACATAATTTTATTCTTATATTTATATATTTTCGATATAACGAAAATATATGTTAATCATATATTGAATCTAAATGTAAAACTTTAAACACAAAACTTCGACAGAAGCTGTCTCGTGAGATTAAGGCTATACCATTCCACGTGAAATCAGTTACAGTTTTTATGAAAATTGTTAAATCTTAATTCTGGAAAAATGCGATCAACAGAAAAGAAAAACATCCTTTTCTGTAAGCAATCATTATTCACTACTAACCAGAAATTTGATCAATATCTACAGGCGTTAAGAATATTGGTAAGACAACTGGTAGATTCAAAAGGAAGAACATTGTAATGCTGTATACCTCGATCACTTAAGACCGGGATCTATCCGATCATAAAAATATGCAAACACAAAACATACTAAATTGTATATATATTTTTTTTAGCAAAAAGAATGCCAGTTTTTCATATTTTACAAATGGGATTGGACAACGACTATACGAGAATTCCATTGCAGTAACTCATAGACTAAGTTATAGTCGTTCGCTTATTTCAATAAAAAATTCTGATAACTGCTATTACAATTTATTTCAAATCACCATATTTATGATGAATAAAGTAATTAGAAAATCAGTCATATTGCTCTACTGTAAAGTAATAAGACACCTAATGTAATCTTATATGCAATTTGCGCACCACAAATTTTAATTCACGTCATTGGTATTCGAAGCCAGACATTTGAAATCCTAAAAAATCTAAAGTTATCGTTAAATATTTTCACCCAAAACCCATCAAAATTAGACACCAAACTTCGAAAAGTTTACAAAACCTGTGCTATTAAAAGCCTTATATATTGAAAAATCACCTGCCTATTATTGTAGAATTATAGTCATTTCGTACCTCATGGAATATTTCTACGTATGCCATTTCGTTCCACATGGAAGATTTCTATGTATGTTATCTCGTACCTCATCAAATATTTCTACGTATGCCATTTCGTACCACATGGAAGATTTCTATGTATGTTATAAACTATCTTCATATTACCGACTTTTGACTCCAGATTATATAATTTGTCGACTGGTTACCCTGGACATCATGGTACTCGGTCAAGTAAGAGCAACCAAAATAAGTAAAATCAAACATATAATCGGTGTAATTTGAGGGGATTGTTTACTGTGTTTTCCGATGATTTTGTAGTAAAAAAAATATTAACCAGGTAATTTCCCCCCAAAATTGTACCGATTGAAAGCTTGGTTTTACTTCTTTAGCTTGCTCTTACCTGACTTGGTATCATGATGTCCAAGGTAACCAGTCGACAAATTATATAATCCGGAGTCAAAAGTCGGTAATATGAAAATAATCTAATATGTGCCAATTTGTACCTCATAGAATATGTATATGTATGCCATTTCGTACCCCATGGAAGATTTGTATGTATGCCATTTCGTACCTTATGGAATACTAGTACATGTATTTATATATATGCCATTTCTACTATACCTTACTGTACCTCCTGTTTTTCAGTGGTTGTCGTTTGTTGGTGTTGTTCATAAGTGTTTCTCGTTTCTCGTTTTTTATATAGATTAGACCGTTGGTTTTCCTGTGTGAATTGTTTTACACTAGTCATTTTGGGACCCTTTATAGCTTGCTGTTCGGTGTGAGTCAAGGCTCCGTGTTGAAGGCCGTACTTTGACAATACCAAACCATGATTTATAAGATTTTTTTTTATTACATGAAACCCCACTAGTAACCTTTCTTTGGTTATCTTCGTTCAAACTTTGACAAGTGAGTATATTTTACAAATGTCAAGTTGTTTTGCATATATCCGTTAAATCCTGTGCTAATATGGACCAGAGGGTCAAGGTTGACCGTTTCGTGTATTCTTATTACAAACAAACAATACATCATGTTCCTTGTATGCAGTTGTCAATATGGACGGGTATAAGACGGACGACATTTTGTGGCAAGCGTTGGATTTGGTAGAAGAGACTTAAGATAAAGGCAATATTATAACCCAAAGTACTGACCGGTATCAGTGTAATAAAGGTAATCATAACTGTATTTTATATCTTATGGTTTTATAACCTCCCTCTTCTCGAGAATAAACAAACATTCATATTCAGACATACTAAGGGATAGGTGTGACCCGACTACCAGACACGCTCAACATACAAAGAAAGAGATTTAATAGGGGGTCTCATTGGGGGGTTCTGATCCCGGATCCCGCTTACTGTTCTGTCAGATTCCCGTATCCCGCTTACACTATGTACGTAAGCAATTCTCATTTTTTTTTGTAATTTCCCGTGTCCCACTAGACTTCATTTCCCGTTTTCACGGCACAATATTTTGACTCACGTGTCACGCTTACAAAAAATCGGCAATCCCGGGTCACGCTTAGACCCCAATGAGACCCACTTAATATTTAGGAACTCCCTTTTTGGGGGGCAAACAGGGGCTGATCCAGCTGGGGGTTCCCAACTCAACAGAAAAGGGGGGTCCAACCATTCACATGCATTGATCTTTTTGGGTCCAAACCGCGGAAACCCACCCCAGATCGGCCAATGGGTAACCGGGTTTGGGGGGGGGGGGGGGGGTTGTCCCGGGAGTTAGAATCCCCATTATTTAAAAGACCAATGCTTTAGAATAGAGACATATGACTGGGATAAAAATATATTAATAAATATCTTGAAACAATTTGTAGTGAACACTATTAGTAATTTCTTATGTTCATGCTATTTAAAAAGTAATCAATTTCTATTGTTACGAATAACAATGGACTTTGTTTGCGGGATGTAGAAGCAGGGTTTTCCAGAAACCCCGCTCGTCACACCCTGTGGTCAAAATCCTTTGTTATTCGTAACAATAGATCTATTCAATTTACACTTGTTTCAGAAATAGAAACTATGAAGTATAACAATAGAACTGGGGTGTAAGTATATGTATGCCATTTCGTTCCTCATGAAAGATTTGTATGTATGCCATTTCGTACCTAATTGAAGATTGTTTGTATTACATTTCGTACCTTATAGAAGATTTATATGTATACTCTTTCGTACCTCTAGGAAGATTTATATGAGTGCCATTTCGTACTCCACATTTCCTTATTACTGAATCATGTATAAATGAAAAACACACAGATTTTACATTTATTTTATTTTACTGTTGGTATGCATTTACATAACAATAAACAGAAAGCACTATTAATAACAATCCTGTAACTCCCTATGGCAAAGAAAAGAATGTCTTTGCAAATATATAATTATAAGTTTTTTACACTATATTTGTGCAATAATTTTGAACCATTTGTAGCAACTATTATATAACTATTATAAAACCATATATTTGAAAAACTGAATAGACGATGCTGTCATCGTAAACAACTATCACATTGCAATGCTTCTTGTCTTGGACGAACGGTACTGTAAAATTATGAAAATTGTAAATTTCATATTTTGTCTTTTTCATTCTTTAATAATTGGAAATGATTATATCCACACGGTTCACATCTTTATCTAGTCATCCGACAAGTTCACAACTTTTAAATATTACTTAAAATTGTTAAACATCTGTTACAGGTTGATACTTCAATTGTTCTGAGAGTTAATTCAATCATAGCAGTTAAACAATTCTTATAACCTAGATTAAGGCAACTATTAGCTATGATACAACCAAAAGTAATATTTTGAACGTGAATGATCAATTATTCTGTATCAACTTCACAAATAATACATGATGGTCTTGAAGTATAGATTCTAGGTACTGACGTTGTTTATCATTTTAATTACGAGCTATAGTGTTCTTTCATTTGTCTTTGTAAATTATTACCTTAACTGTTTAGTCCTTTTTTGTAATATCTCTTTGGCGTGGCTCGGTACTTATACATCCCGTCATTGTGTTATTGTGCCATGGTCATTTTTTGTATTCTTGTCTTTCTTGTCATTTTTGCTTATGTGCTTTGTCCATATTCCATTTTGTTTTTCTTTGTTGACATATTTGTTTCTTTTATAGTGATTAAGATTATAGCACAATGTTGACTGCTGTACCCCTTTTTGATATTTTTTCCTATTATGTCTGTTTATTTTGTTCACACATTGTTGTCAATATAATGGAATTTTATGCGACTGTCATACAAGTGAGAGGTTTAGCTAGCTATAAAACCAGGTTTAATCCACCATTTTCTACATAAGGAAATGCCTGTGCCAAGTCAGGAATATGACAGGTGTTTTCCATTCGTTTGATGTGTTTGAGCTTTTCATTTTGCCATTTGATAAGAGACTTTCCGTTTTGAGTTTTCCTTAGAGTTCGGTATTTTTGTTATTTCACTTTTTATATACTTTATCTATCTGTTAAGCGCCAAATTGTCAAATATAAGGTTACAAGGGGAAATACTGTAAATCCATATGTATATTTTCCTTAAGTTTACACATTATCTGTTATTTCTAAATTGTCTCTTAAGTCAGTAATTTGGCCGTGTACCATTATTTTAATATTAAAACATTTACCAAATTCATGTTGCTTAAATATTCCAGTTATAGGACCTGTTGAAAATGTTGACGAATATTGTAATTAGAAACAGATACGATTCAAATGGAACAGTAACAAAGCTCAATTGTGCAATAATATAAACGGTACAATGTTTTCTGCACCAGATGCGCATTTCGACAATCAATGTCTCTTCAGTGATGCTCGAGGCCAAAATATCTGAAAATCCACAGCTTATTAAAATGATGAAAAGCTATAAACCAAAAAGGACAAAAAAGTATAGCAAAAGCCGGGCAAGGAATCAGAGCTTTGCATGAGGTAGATACATTCCTTAATTTTAAATAATTTCCAACATTTTGTAACAGCAAACTTTAATAACACAAAATCCGTATTTTCATGCCAGAACCCAAGTACTGGCTACTGGGCTAGTGATACCCTCGGGGACTACCAGTCCTCCAGCAGAGGCATCGACCCAGTGGTAGTAATAACACAAACGGTGCCAATTTTTCTGCACCAGATGCAAAGATCTCCTAGACAATCCAACTTCGTTAGCACCTGAGATCACCCCAGTTTTTGGTGGGGTTCGTGTTGCTTAGTCTTTAGTTTTCTATGTTGTGTCATCTGTACTATTATTTGTCTGTTTGTCTTTTTATTTTTGGCCATGGCGTTGTCAGTTTGTTTTCGATCTATGAGTTTGACTGTCCCTCTGGTATCTTTCGTCCCTCTTTTAAATGATATTTTAGATTTAATGGACAACAATGCAAATGATGCTGCTAATACACTTATTTCTCACTTGCAAAATATTTGTACAGAAGCGGGTTTTTTAATATTGTACAATAGACACAGAGTGCGTGCTATCAAACAACAGAAATGGTTTGGTTCAGAATGTGTGTCTATGAGAAAAAAATGTAGACTATTCAATGATTTTCGAGCAACTAGTGATACTGACATACTACAAGAATATGTTAGAACAAAACATATTTTTCACAAGTTGTGTGATACTAAACAAAAACAAAGAGAATAAGAAAACTGATTTATGTAATGTTACTAAAACTGGT